TTAATTTATTTTAGCTTCCCCTCTATTGTATCTACATAACATTTTTATCAACTGGTTGTTTTCCATATGAAAGTGAGTTTTGTAACTAATGTAATCAATTATACCAATTTCATTAATTTCTATAATATTTAATTTTTTTTTTTTATTTCCAAAAACAAGAAATTTACCATCTGTATAATGAAATAAAATCCTGACTAACGATTTTTTAAATATTTTCAGTTAGGTAAATACTTGAGCAAGGTGATATTAAATTTTCAAGTTTAAATACCAAAAAAAAAAACAATTTTATTACAAAAAAACTTTTAAAAATAAGGTATTTTTAAATTTTTATATTTAAACCGAAAATGCTTATTTTTTTAAAAAATGCTGTCGAATATGAGAAAAAAAATTTTTGATATAGGATAAAAGTTTCAAATTTTTTGCCACATTACCTTTGGAGTTATGACCAAATAACTATCTTCTTAAAAGTGAAAGTCTCGTTTACAGCACATTTTTACCGTTTTACAGCAGTTTGTCCTCAAGCCTGAAAAAGCTATTGAGACTTTGGAAAAATTACCACTCTATAGTACTAACACATGCCAATTTCAAATCAGTATTTATTTCCGAAAAAAAAAATACACATCGTTGTAAAACCATTAGATCCTTCACTCAAAATCTAAAACTGATTCTGTGATGAAATATTTATTTATGCAAATGGGTAATACGTTATACGTGAAATAAAAATCAAATATCTTAGTGAACAACTTAAATTTAGAAATATTTAAATATTTACCAAATATTTTAGTAGTAGTTGAATTGTACGGGTTACGGGTGTACATAACCATTAAGGATCATGAAAAAATAGTAGGTCTTCAACAACCCAGTTTTTTAATTGAAATTGCGCCCCTTCGATAAATATTTAAAAAATTTATATTAGACGCTTTTTCATTCGGTTATCAAGTCGATATAATATTTACTGATTTTTCAAAAGCTTTTGATAAAATCAGTTATACTATTCTAATTTTGAAATTTTACGACATTGGTATTAGAGACCCCTTTCTTTCTTTGATTTCTTCATACATTTTCAATTCGAAACAAATAGTCAAATATAAAATTTAAAATCGTTTCCACTTACAATATTGTTTGGTGTACCTCAGGATTCCTACTATGCTCCAATTTTATTTATGTTATTTACAAATGATTTAAATTTATATAAGGACAAGGAAATTACTATTTGCCCACGATATGAAAATATTTCGTCTTATAAAAAACAATAATGTTTCTTTTATATTACAAAAAGATTTAATAAGTTAAGAAAATTGGTGTGATATAAATAAATTACCATAACATTTTGAAAAATATACTCTTGGTGTAATATTCGAATAAAACATTTCCTATAATAAACACATTCTACATATTATCAACAAATTTTTTTAGGTTTTATTACTAGAAATATTAAAGACTTTAAAAATCAAAAAACCATTAATAATTCTATTTGTTTCTTTAATTTGATCTATGCTTAAATATAATTTAGTTGTTTGGTCTCCTTACATAACCAAATGCATTGAAATCATTCAAAATCGCTTTCTTCGTAACTTGTTTTTTACATTTAAAATCCTGTGTTTACCTGGTTCCTCTATCAACCACTGTTAAACACATTTAATATCCAAACAGAAGGAAAATTAGTTATCTAAAATATATAACTACTAAATGTAAGTAAAACTACTAAATGGATTATTTTTTTGTCCTGAGCTATTAAGTTTATTTAATTTTTTTTGTTCCTCTACTTAGAACTAGGTCATGAATCACAAGATACATTCTATCTGAATACTTATAAATCTAATTATGCAAAATTCTCTCCTATAAATATGATGATCATAGTTAATGGTGAATTAATTGATTTTTTAAATCTAATTTTATTTCCGTTATTTTTTCAACATGTAGGTATGTATAATTTATTTTTTACTTTATTTATAATAATTGATGTATGTAATTATTTTTCGTTAAAAATAATTAATTGTTATCTGCATTATATTTATATATTATGTACTATATTATTTATCTTATGTAACTAGGTTCTTATCCGTAAATAAATAAATGATAATACGAGTAATGAAATGAACTATAATATTTTTAAACGTTTTTTTATTTTATTTTTTTGTTATTATTGTGTAAAATTCGTATAGGTTAACAATTCGTTAAACTTTAAAATTTGAGTCTATTTAATTGAGTAAACATATGAGGTTCACAAAGTCCTTACAGATTACCTACACGTGGTTTAATTTGCTTAATATTTGACAATATATTATCGATTAGCCATTGATAGAAAATATAGGTAACTACAATGCACAACTTCAACATCAATAAATATATACGCATATATTTATTAAAAATTTTATTTTGGTACTTAAATAAAAACAACAGTACAAGTTCATCCAATCAAATAACGGTGGAGAAACATGACATAAGTACAATATGCTAAATTGGATTAGACTTGGTATAAATTATAATCACTAATTATAACAATAAAAATATAAATAATAATTTTGATCTATAGACTAGGAAAAATTAATAACTTTAACACAGACTTCATGGTTACCCGTTCCGGTATCACGTACAGCGATACAGTTCAACAAAGAATATTTTTAAACGTTTTAATACCGAACGAGAATATTGTAAATATCGGTGCCGGCGCATATGGTGCCTAAAACAATAATAAATGCTCGAATTCGGCTTGACCAGGTAACTATTGACGATACTACCTATGTTATAGTCACTTATGTGCTTCATCTTCTGTCATCAGATAGAAAACTTTAATTTCAATTATTAATTGTTAACACACGAACCTATCGAATAATAATAAACCTTTTATTATACTACAATAATAATATTACGTACAGTACAAAAGTGCCAATCATCCAAATTACAAAGTTAAAAAACATTATAATAAAACAATACATCACATATAATTGTTAACCCTGTTAAAACGAAAAGCAATATAAAAACATAATATTTACGCCTACAAATATAAATAAATATATTTACTATATATAGTTATAAAATTTAACATTCATAAAATATACGATAAAAATAATAAAATATACATATATATATATATATATATATATATATAAATCACAATGGAATGATTAAATTAACTAGGATAATGTAATAAATTCTGTTATAAATAAATCATTAACCCATAACAAAGGAAAAAATATTGATTCACTAATTTTGTTTTATTTTCTTAAGAATAACCGATAGAAAACTCTCGGCTATTTTTCGCGAATTGCGATGATCGAAATATTTTCTATCCTTCGCTCGCCCCAAAGTGGCCGTATAAAAGTTCAAAACACAATTTTCGTGAAACTGAATTTGTGACACTCGTCGTCGAGTAAAGACTCATTACGTAATGCGATGAATTTAGTGTGAGAAACAATAGATTAAGGAAACTGTTGCTAAACAAATCAAAAAAAAAAAAAAAAAAAAAGTGGAGAAAAGTAACAATCAATAACTTATTATAGTTATGCATATTTTGTATGAACTAACAGTTCTTAAAATGTTTCTTAATTAATTTATCGAAATTAGAAATATGATTAATTTGTTAATAAAAAGGTCATAATCACATTTCAAATAATGATCATATCAAAATAATGACCATGTGTACGTTATACCCGAAACAGTATTAAAAATTAATTGCAACGTATTACTCGTATTTTTAAGACTATAAAAAAAAAAGAAAAAAAGTTTAACAAAATATTTACAACGTAATTGACACAATAGTATAATATTAAGTGTTTTTTGTTGTTTGATAATTTTAACATAAATAAATAAACTTTTTATCTAGTTGAAAGAAAAAACGATGATAAATATTAAATCGATGTCAAAGAAATCCGTTAATCCCCTAGCCATCGCGGCCGATTGGTATGTTTACATTTATTACTATACTGATAACGCTTTCGCTATACTAACTATGCGTAAGACTCCTTCCAACAAAAAAAACTTATCGATTTCCAATTTAAAGTTGTCGCATCAGTCAACAATAACCAAATAATAATAATTAATTTTGTAATCATTATTCATGAATAAGAGCACACCGTTTATTGATATTGAATCAACTTACAGTGCATACAAGTATTACGCTGTTACAGACATGTAGACACGCAGGGTACGTCTTCGCGTGTTGATAGGCCGTTTTTATAAATTAAATTTCGCAACACCAACTCGGAAAAATAACACGTATGGAATCGTACAAAGCTCGTGATATGCCGAGATCGGAATATTACCTTTGAAGCAGCAGGACGGTCATGACGGTTTTAGAAAATACCGACAACACTTCAGTAAAAACAACAATAATAAAAATAAAAACGTTAGCGGTAAAAATTCAACTATAGCTACGATAAAAATAAATAAATAAATGTTGAATAAATGATAAGAACAGGAAATAAAAATAAAAATACGATAATCATGGGTGCTGCTTGAATTATATTCATTGGACACTTGGATTTTTTTCATGGGCATACAGGAAAAAGTTTTACATGTGTATTTTGAAAATAATACCGCGAACACCGACGCGCTGCGGCAGGAAACAAAACTTTTAATACCTCGCATTAAATGAATACCTCTCGAAGCGGAAATTCGGAAGAAAAATAAGAAGAATGAAAATTGTTACAACAATAATTCGTGGTGACATTTGTCCGAGTTCGGGTCGGAGGATTTGGCTGCGAACTGTTTTCTCGTATAACTTGGCGATGACAGGGGAAAGAAAAAAACCAGCAGAACGCTATGCAATAATACAATCGGATTGGAGCGAACGCGGCACGATTACGTAACGCGAACATTGAACGACTCAATTATAACGGAGGAGACGATAACGTTTCGATTACAGCGAAAATTATAATTCAAAAGTTAGTACATTTTTACTGACTGTTCACTGTTTACTTTAATATATTTTCCATCTACCCTATTTATATTTACATATATATATATATATATATATATATATATATATAAATATATTGTATTTGTTTGTCTGGCCGACGAATGGTAGTAATAATATTAATAATAATAATTATAATACAACAATAACAATGTCGAAAATCGAGTGACACGTGGCGACACGTCGGATTTTCTCTGGAGATCATCGTTCTAAATATTCATATAAAATTACTGTGTACAAAATATTATACCGACCGAATCGACGAAGCGTAATAACGTTTTCGCAGTGTGGAACGACGGCAAAATACGTTAAAATAATGATACACTGCCATTGTCATCGTCGCTACTGCTGATGTTGTTGTTGTTAATATTGCACGAGAATACAACACTTTGGTTTGATATGACTGTACATTCAACGCACATGTGTCTCATTATTACACAGCGCACGGAAATCCACAAGTGAACGTCATACAAACGGCCCGAACAGTCACGGGTCGAACGTACGTTTACACACGTACTATCTTCGTTTTGTACATAGGAACTCTTGATTTGCGCGTTCGGTCGACACGTGACGTCGCGCCGGTACAAATTGTTTTTGAACGAGTATTAGACAGAGGGATGAGTGAGGAGAGTCGTTGAGCACCGTCCGCGTGTACAGCAGTGGCGACAGCGACCGACGAGCGGTTGCTTTCGAGAAAGTTGGTAGAAAGTTCGAGGTGAAGGTAGTCGTTCGGGGGACGTTCTACCGCGCGCGCGTTTGGAGTCCGCGGTACGGCAGCGGGTAGGCAGCACCGACAGGACTCTTGGTGAAAAAACGGTGGTCGAACGGACAGGTCGGCGGGGTGCGATGAAAATCGATGGCGGGAGAAGCGTTGGCTACGAGGGTTACGAATGGTGTTAAGAAGTGCCGCAGTGATCCTGCGCTGTGATGCGGAGCGCAACGAATGTTGTGTGTTGACAGGCGGCGGGCGGGGTGTTGGCGGGCGGGAGCGTGTGTGGATCCGGGCACGTGCGGCGCACCGGTCGTTCATCAGCTACAGCAGCTGTTGTCCTGGGCCTTGCAATACTCGACCGCGTCGTGCACGGATGGGAAGAAGTGCAGTGAGCCGAAACCGGGTGACTGCAGGCACTCGTAAATGGTGCCGGACAGCGCAGCCACGTGCACGGTGAGCCCGGCCGCGTTCAGCTTGTCGACCACCTGCGCGAACACGGACAGTCCGGACGTGTCCACGTAGTGCATGCCGGACAGGTCGAATATCACGCACCGCGTCTTTACCACCGTCTCCTTGCCGTTGTTTATCGATATGGTAATGGGTGCCAGCTCGCCGTCGTACCGGGCCAGCACTTTGTACACCTTCTCCTTGAACACGTGCCGGTTGGTCACGTTTAGGCTGCCGGAGTAGTGGACGATCCGCACGCCTGGCACCTCGATCGCGCGCTGATACCGTTTCGCGTCCACGTACAGGTCCGTGTCCGGTATGCGGCCGAGCACGGATACACCGGTGCCGATGCCGCGGCTGAACACGAAGAACAGCGACACCACGACGCCGGCCAGGAGGCCCACATCGATCTCGACCAGCACCACGGTCGCGTACGTCGTGATCCAAATGATCGCGTCCGTCTTGGACGTCCGCCACACGTGCACCACGTCACGTACCTGCAGCAGTATGTCCTTGAGCGCGACGATGGTGATGCTGGCCAACACGCACCGAGGCAGCGGCTGGAACAAGTGGCCGATCCACAGTACGACGGCCACCAGCAGGCCGGCCGACACGATGCTGGCCATCTGCGTCTTGCCGCCTACCGAGTACTGCGTGGCACTGCGCGACAGCGAGGCTGAGAACGGCAGACACGAGAAGAAAGAGCCGAACACGTTACCGATGCCTTGGGCCAACAGCTCTTGGTTCGTGTCGATCGAGTACTTGAGCTTCTCCGAGAACAGAAGCGCCATCGACATGGTCACCGAGTACGCGACGATCGCGATTATTACGCTCTCGCTGATCACGTTCATCAGCAGGTTCACCGGCGGCGGCTTGAAATCCGGCAGGCCCCTGTCGATCTCACCTATCTGAAAAACATCAATGAAACGCATGACGGTGTTAATAAATTATTATTGTTATTATCGTTATTTTTTAAATATTAAGTGCCGGACAAGAATCCGAATCGGATCGGACCATTGGAGTATAAAAACAATTTCCAGAAATTATACATACAGAAAAGGTATTTTGAAATAGAACAACCGATGTATTATTAAAATCAGGAAAATCAATTTTAACAATAATATTACACAGAATAGTACAAAGAAAATATTTAATAGAAAAGTTACTACTGGGAAATTAATAATATATGAAAATGAAAACCATAAAAATATCGGTAATAACTTTTCCGTTTTTTAATAATCTTGTATATTATCCTCCTATCTCTTTTTTACCGTTTTTTCATGTTCCGGACATTATTTTCCTGTATTATTCTTTTGCTCGGTTATGAAATATCTCTCCTTGGTTTAAATGTCCATGTAAAAGTCTAATCCTGGTTTTTTCCACTACTTTTCACACTCTTGTGTTTCCGCGCTCTCGAATTATACCCAAATCCCGTGAACGTTTATTCAAAACTTTGGTTGGCTTTGGCGTTTGTCCAAATATTATTTTTAAGCGATGGTGTTTTTTAGTAATTCCATATAATCAACTGAAGTCATTATGATGCAAGGTTGTTGGAGAAAAAAAATTAAACTTTCAACGTAGGCATTTTTTTTATTTTTAATGACAATATGATTTAATTTCCAAAACGGAAATGCAATATGTCAACCAATATCGCATCAGTAAAGCCAGTCATAATATATTTTATAATTATTGATGTTTTAGGCGAAGAAAAAATTGGATTTAATAAAAAGTAAAACCTTAAAAATCTTTGTTTTTTTTTTTTTGTTTACACTATTATGTGGATAACTTCAAATTATATAAAAATAAATTTAAAAAAAAATTCAAATCGATCAAGGAACGATTGGAGTTAAAAAATTACGCTTTATCTATTCTAGAGAATAATAGTAAATCCGATGGTTAATCTCACAAGACGTCGTAAAAATAAAAATAATATAGTTTGTGGCATAAAACATGTATATCTATCAATAAAAATAACAATATTTTAATAACTTATTAATTATTTATTTTATACTTCGTTTTAAATTCAATAATGACCTCGCCGAAATACTGTTATGACAGAATGCGGTTGCTTAACGTCTTAATAATTTTGTACTTGTACTATATTTGTATTATCAATTACTATCCCGAATACTTACATATTCTCGCTGCAAATTAATTGGTTTTACTCAATAGGACGTGAGTGTTCTAAAGCTGTATTCAAGTGCAAGATCACTAGTTTTCGGCGAATAATTTAATAACATCAAACGTTATTAAAATATTAAAAATAAATATAAGGAAATAGAAGATTTTGCGGTGTCAATTACTTTTTGAGATTATTTTATTAGGTATGTTGGATGAACTGCAATATTTTTTATTCCAAACAAATATTTTATAATATTTGCGTGTAATATTCAATACAACTAAATAACACATGATGAATAACTCATTTCAATAATAATATCTAATGTAATACTTTAACTTTCTTTTCTTTTTTTTTATAATAATTATTATTGAAAACAATTGAAAATATACATTCGTTTAAACAATAATAACTTTGATAACTTGATTAAATTGTACGTACTTCTCATCATGAATGTAAAACAAAAACAGCATTATTTCCATAAGACGATTTTGATTAATTTGAAATTAGGTATTTCATACATGAAGTACAATATACTATTTGGATAAGTACAATGTTGCACAACAAAGAGCAGTGAATGATCTAGGAAATTTGACGACCGACGTCAATAAAAATGCAACTTCTTTACGTAAGTGGAAGTGCGGAGTTTTTTCATGACTTTTTTTATTCTTCATAAACATATGAGCACCTGGGGCAAGCATATTCATTTTCCCCCCGCACTGACACAAAGTAATATCAGTATTTCTAAATTTTGTGATGGTTGAATATCTACACGATGAAGACATATTCTGTTTCCCCTGTGTCGCTCTAATTGTGTAGTAATCGAAATCAACAGCCAATTAAACAATATAAATGATTTGATAACGAAATATTTCCTGACATTCCATACCAAGAGTCAAAATCGTTTACAACACGAACATGAATCGTACAGCAAGTACGACATATTAACGAGAGAATATCCAGAGTGGGTTTTCAGGAAAAATCAATCGTACATATTTCGTTTACATGTCGTATCGTAACGAATTCAAGTAAATATAAATCTCCAAAGAAAAAATATATACAATACATAATCGTGTTACTCACTGCAATTTGAATAAAATATATTTCCATCGAAACATGATAAGAACAAATTATATTTGTCTCTACCCTTACGCAATGAAAACTAACCAAAGCAGAATGGACCTCCAAGACATATTTCGTTTAAAATAATGTTTCCGGTTTATGCGGTTGAACATCGACGACATGATATTAGTGACAGGACAAAAAATAATTTTCCATTTGGACGAGTTTCCGACTTATCCGGGATCTATCTCGGATAGATTTTGTCTCGGGTCCAATGGTTCTATACACTTCGATAGTTTACAAAGTTCTTACACGATGATGCAACAACAACCCCGACCCTGACCATTTTACCATTATGTATGTAACCTAATGAAATGTTTTCATTGTAAGCCAGTGATTTCAGTAAATCCGAATACAAATCTGTCAAATTCGAATTAAAGATGAGAAAAAGACGGCTTTATATTCCATCGCCAATTCGAATAGAGTATTTGTGTTTTTATAGTTCGTTCGTGATGTGATCACCGTTTTCAGTGGGGTGACAATCATTTTTCGAACCCTATGTGAAGCATTTAAATAATAATCCGCCCACTACCACATAATATATATGTATATAATGTAAAATTATATATTCGTTCAATGTATTTAATTTTTATATTTGTGCATAAAATAATTAAAAAATATCAATATGCATAATATATAATTTTTCAATGCATGCATTTAACTCATTTATTCAACTATTTAAATAAAATATGTTCATAAACACATGAGCCAAAATATACCCACTCCCTTGCGTGAACTTTATTCATCACATCACTCAGTATAACACGTAACGCATGTGGATATGGTGTAATATTTGATATATTCGGAAAGCAGAGTGCCAACTCATATCGACGAAATGGAAACCTAATAAAAGTCAATCAGGGGAAGGTCTAGACAACGATAGGAGGATCGAGTTAAGGAAGACCTCTGAATATAAGGAGTGCTGAATGAAGAATAACTGACAGCTCATAGGAAATCTGGAAGGAGATAGTGAAAGCGACAATAGGCCTAAATAGCCCCGAACGAGCCATTAATAATAATATAAAGATGTAATATTATAATAGTTAGGTAGTTCTACACTATGTCGCTTTTCTGAAGCCAAGTAATGTCGTGTCACACTTACCAGTTTGATGTTATAGTCTTTGGAGAAAGTGGTAAACTGGAACATAGTGGTGCCGATGACGATGGTGATCAACTCAATGGGTATGGGTATGATTGACCGTTTGTTGATTATCGCCTTCAGGTACAGGTTGTAGGAAAGCAGTAGCGAGATGGTGGTGCATGACACCAGCACGGTGGCCAGGTTCACGTTGCAGATATGGTTGACGATCTCGGAGAATGTGAGCACCACCTGGAACATGCCGCTATGCCGGCCGATCTGGATGCCCAACAGCTCCTTCATCTGCGACGTGACCACATGCACGCCGGCGCCAGCCGTGAAGCCGCTGACCAGCGTCTCGGACAATATAGTGCACACCACACCCAGCCGGAACACGTACATGAGTATCTGTATAAGACCGACCATGAGCGTGACAGCCGTGGCCACCTCGATCGGCGAGTAGATCGCGGTGGTAGTAGTGGTCGGCTCGGCGTGCCCATCGTGATGCAGATTGAAGTTACCGTTGGCGTACGTATTGACCACCTTGCCGGACATCAGGCACACTACCGAAAACGAGCCCATCGACACGTGCTTAGACGTGCCCAGTAGGCTGTACACAATCACCGGCAGTATGGCCATGTACAGTCCCACGGTCGGTTCCACGTTGCCCAACATCGCGTACGCCATGCCCTGCGGTATGTTCAGCACGGCCACCGTGAAGCCGGCCACAAAGTCCTTGAAGAAGTCCTCGGACCACTTGTAGTTGGTGAACAGCCAGTCGATGGCCGGGACCACGGACTTGGCGTCTGACCACTTGAGCTTGGCTACTTTCTTTCGCTTCGTCGTCACCACCACGTCCGCGTCCCCGTTGGCGTACGCCTCGTTCAGGTCATCTAACTGGTATATCGGCCGCTTCACGTTGATCACCACCGAACCGCTCATCTTGCCCATCACTCTGTTGTATCTATATGTACGCGGACAAACCAAACAAACACACTTTATACCCCGTTAGCACTACACATATTTATCTATATCTTGGTCTATGGCTAAATGACGAATCGGTAGAAAATATTTAATATTTTAAACTGTACATTTTCGTTCACACAATTACAGAATATAATTCTGACTGTTCTTCTGACTCCTTAAATGAACGATTTAATTTTAAAATAACCTGAATATATTCAAGAAACAAATCAGATTATTCTATTCTTTATCCATTCATTCAAAATATATGTATATTATATGACCAGGAAAATATTCCAATGTCCATAACTAAATTAATTGAACATTGATTTTTCTTTAACACTAATTTACTCAATCCGTCAAATACTTTATCTGGTTAATATAATTTACTACTTTTTAGTTTATTTTAGTATTTTATTTTTGAATAATGTTTTATACTTTTAATTTTGTTTACTTAATATTTTTAGATTTTATTGTCTACACAAACTGTATCCTAACTGTGAATTCATTCTTATGTAATTGAAATTTGTTTTTGAAAATACACTTATAAAAATATACGGTAGGTTTCACCTGGATGTATTTAGAAATCCGCATCATTTTAACGCAAATTTCTTCTGCCTTCCATCCCTTCCCTATGACTATCGATGGACCGGCCTGGCATGGATATATTCTTGAATGCTTTTAATTTTTATTTTAGGAAAAATGTAATAACTATTGTCTCTTCATAAAAATCATTTATCAACTAGATCTTGAAAGAAAAAGTTATTAAAACCCTGTACATTATGTTGCGCTATAAAGATATTCGGAGTCGCGTTTACGCAACTGATTCGGTTATTTATGCGTCCAATAAAGTCATACAACAATTATCATCAACACGTGATGATGATGTAGAATATTTTTAGCAGAAAAACTACGTAAGAAATACAAGCTAGGTACAATTCGTATAAGTAATTACGTGAACGCAGTTTATATTTTTAAATTTGTTTACACTCGTTACCATTTCTAATGCCCCGAACATATAAGCAATAATCATCATGGAGTGGATTTTAAAATCTGCCGGGTCCTTCAACTAGCGTTCTTTTTTCATTATTAGGAATTGTTTCTGAGGTTTTTCATAATAAATTATATTGTAATGCAAACTTTTAGTATACTTATTATACCTACACAAAATTACAACTGCTGTGTGTAATCGCACACGTATATACAAGATCGTAATTTCGTCCGCACTCGTAGAAATCAATTACTATTTATACTTCGCTTTTGAATAGGAAAAACTGGAGGCAAAGTTGTATGTTGTGATAGCCATAAGCAGAGTTTTTACCGAAGAACATATAATTTTCAAAAAAAATTACACTTTCGTCAAAAAAATGTAATCAAAATTAACGGCACATATCGCGGGTGCAAGCCCACGCGACTAATGATGAGTTTTGAATATTACGCTATAATTAAGTGACTGCACCTGCACTCTTCAATGTTTAGAATATGCTTTATTTTTTTTCTAAAATCTACTACTCATCTTCATTTATTTAAAATTTTATGATCGCAATAGTATCGGGATCACGCCGAAACTTGTGTTCATACAACAATTGGAAGTGTTACGCATTATATTGTAACCACGTTGTTGTTAATTATACTAAAGATTTTTCCAGAGAGGAAATAGGCGTCCTGGTTGGATATTTTATTTTCAACCAACGAATTGTTAAAAATAACTTCAATGCCACTGATCGTGTACAACATACGAGTAGTTCCGTGAAAAATTATGATTTTAAATTTATGTTCTATACCTAATAGGGTTCAGAGGCGAAATGCATTGTGTATCCTAATTTTAATATCATAAAATGGTAGGGGCCCCTAAGCTGTAGCCCACTCAATCCTTCCCTGAATCCCATCATGATAGAGCTTGCCACTTTAATATGCAGGCGATGAGGAATTAATTAAAATAAGGACACTCAGCACTGCATAATCAGTCAATTTTATTATTTGATGCGATCTAAAAGCAATTCCGAATAGAACTTGTTTAAAAACAAAAAATTTAGTCAACATTTTATAAAATTATTAAAAGTAATTATATATATAACAACATTATACGTGTAACCCCTCCTTCATCAGCACCACTAATGTTGTAAGTACATATATTACAAGAACGTGACCGCTGTAAGATTGATTGTGCGGAGTTATCATGTTTCACAATATAATCAGCTAAATGCGTAGACGTAATAATTCCTACGCTTAGTTACCGATTTATCATCCATACTCAGAATCTCTATTAGTTACATAACGCTTTTTCGCGATGGAAATATTATATTGGAGTAAGCTTAGCATACAGATATCTAATACATGGATAGTGCAGTGACTTGCGGAAAAATTAAGTTCAAATATATCATGAGTAAATAATAATAAGTTGTTACAAATTGGATGACAAAAACTTTTTATTAAAAAGTCGTATCGGTTATCCATTGGTATGCGGAAAATATTATAATATACGAGTATATAATGATAAGTATTATTATTATTATTGTTATGATTATAAAACATTGTTGGAATCGTATAGCTATGGTACCCAGTAAATAATTCGCACTTATTTTTCATGAGTTTAACAATCCTATACTATTAATTACTACCGTAATTTTCATCTTGTGAAATAAATACATTTAAAATACGTGGTAGGAAAAATATTGAAGTCCCCCGAAAAACATTTTTAGATACACTCATGATTATAAGTATTTTTTAACAACAACATTATTATACTGAAATTATTAATTTAAAAGTGTATTTATACGTGCAATTCGAAAACAAACCACGGTAAATTATGGAGATCGAAGTCCTTCACGTGTGCAATACAAAATGTACATTACTTTGGCTTTAGAGCCTCCCATGTGTTCACCCTATGTGCGCGTCTATGTGCACTTCGAACGTTGTTTTGCACTATGTAAATGTGTCCCGCACACATGTTATAGTGTATGAGAGTGTATGTGTATTATAATAAAATTACACAATTAATATCGAAGAAGCATGTACACACATATGAACGTCTATGATAATTATTAAACATTGGCGTTGAAATTTACAATCGATAAATTATTGTAACAATAACATTATTTTTAACCTCAAATATAATCATTGTACCCAAACCCTCGAAACAAACTCGTTATTTGATGAACAACTTTTATAATAATTATTATTATCATTAGCTTAATATTACTTCCCGAATTGTATCCAAAAACGGTGGGTACCTAAGCGAAACGTTACATGCGTAAATACACATGACTATCTGTACGAACTTGACCTACGGTGGAAAACGAAAATAATAATTGGCGTTTATCAATACGAGTGAAAAACGGCAAACTGTAATATTTACAATACGACGTCTATGACGTTTTGGACGCAAAGAGCTTTATGACTTCGAGAGAAGAAAAAACACATAATCTATTCGCAGATCTTCATAAGTGTACATTATGTACACCTATAGATGTGCGCACGGGGATTGCTGGATGTGCCCGGGCAACCTCCGAAGTGTTGTAAATAGGGCTCTACAATTTAATTCTAAGAGTAAGATGTCCGTAATTTAATTGAAAATGTTCAAATTAAATGTAATTTATTCTAAAATATTTGATAAAAATTAAATGATGTTTTGTAATAGAAAAAATAAAACTAAAATTTCTAAATGTTCAAAATCTTATCATAATAATATAGTAGCTACACTTAACTACAAGAGTACAAATCATAAATAATAGAAACTATCTGAGAAAAATATACGAGAATCAAGGAAAATATATTCGTTGGAACTAATATAGTACAATATTAAATAAAAAATTAAAGTTGTATTTATTCATTTATTTATACATAATAATTTATAAAATATACCTATTAATTTTGTTAAGATAGTGCCCAAAATTATTGTAGGCACCCTTTGAAATACAGGTCTCCAAACGCCTATGTATGTGTAAGCATGATTTTCGTCGCGGCAATCTCAACGAGTGGTTATCAATAAATTCCCTAGGAATTCCGTTGGAATAACTAACGAATTATAATTTTTTTTTTCTAACGATAGTTAAAAATGTTGAAACATCGACGTTCAGAAGAATAACACAATGCAATGGTTATCTTCAAACAATTTGAAAATATTTAAATAAAACGTCAAGTATTATTTTAAATTGTTCAGCGAACCACTAATATTTAATTAAAATAAGAATATTACCTAATGATTGTATTGCAGTCTTCGTTTCTGTGAATTGTATATGAAAAAAACACAATTACCTTCATTGTCTTAGGAAGTATCGCTAGGGTATATATTTCCGTTGGCCACCCTGTTTGTGCCAATGTATTGTACAATTATCGCATATCTAACGAATATTACACTGCAACGCGATTTCGAAGACACGACCGTACGGAATAAATATGAGTGTTCACATCGTTAAAACATAGTTCTCGTCAATTGTGGCTTGCTAACACGGGTTCTCTCGTGTATTATACGCAAATAACGAATCTTCTTTTTTTTTCAACCGAATGGAAAAATATGTAATGTATTCACACATAATATTAATACAATTCAGAAACTTATTTTCTCTCTCTAGTTTAAATATTTAATTTGCAGAAGCCTCTTGAATTCGAAAGACCCTGTATATGGCTGCGTGTACGATTTAACACACTATTAAGGCTCGTACGTGGATATGTGCGATTCCACTCTCTTCTACGCAAAAGCCAGCTGTATATTAATTACATGTGCAAAGTATTAAGTTTAATTGGAAAACAAAATCACAATAATAATGTTCCCATGAAATTTGATTATTATTATTTTATTTTTATTTTTTTCATTTCGATCTACGAATAATCATAATAATGTGATTTACCTAAACTACGTAAACATTATTTACTTTATTTTATTATAACTAAAATAAATATAACTCGTTTTATCCGTGAAAGCAATCCGTTGTTTAACTAGTTAAAGAACCATTGACCCGAGTACCTACATTTTAATATATATTTAAACTATTCATTTGA